GGGGGGGGGGGAGGCGAGAGACAAGAACGGTGGGCGGCAGGAGGTTTGGGGGGACAGGGGTATGCGTGAGGAGTGGGGGGTTGAAACGGCCGTGCAGGACTGTGTTTGGCCTCGATGCGTTTTGGATATGAGCCAGGCTCGAGGGCCGTGTGCTTCCCGCGCCGAACTATGTGTTGGCAGCACCTCCAGGCCGGCCGCCGGAGGCGTGCCCAGGCCGGCAGCCGGCGGCGCCCTGTGCCGCCTGCCCCCGCGCCGCATGGTCAGAAGCCTGCTGGCTTCCACTGCGGCGCCGCGCACGCCGCCCCCTCGCCGCCGCCACTGATCTCCATGATACTGCCTTCTTGCATCGCCGCGCCTCAACCTCCAACGTCAACGGGGACCAAGCCCCGCCTTCTTGACCGCGCCCCCCCCCCCACACCTCGCAGTCGCTCTCGGTGCGAAACTTCTTGTCGGGGTGGGCCGCGACGATCTGGGCCTTCAGCGCCTGGTAGTTGTAGATCTCACCTGGGGGGGATGCCATGCGCAGCGCGGCGCGGCGCGGTGCGCACGACTCAGCAAAGCCCAGCGCCGCAGCCTCGGCCCCACCAATCAGCGCAGCTGCTGCCTCACCCGTATCCGCCACACTGTCCCTGCGCGCGGCCCCTCCAAAACGGCAGCGGCTTGCCGCGCATTTGACTCACCGTTGACCGCGACGACGATGGACTTGTCCTCGTTGTACAGCGGCTGGTCGCCCGATGCCGGGTCGATGATGGCCAGGCGCTCGTGGGCCAGGAAGCAGCTCTTCCACTGGTGCATGCCACTCCTGGCGTGAGGACAAGGGTGGACGGCGAGGGTCCGGGGGGATGTGGGCGCCAGAGCGGGGCGCGCCTCGGGTGTGCAGGAGCAGCGGGTTGAGTCCCACTCCTGGGGTGGGGCCCCGAAGGAGCCTGTCGGCGGGGCGCGCTGCATCAATTGGCAGCGCCCCACGTGCAGCTGCCATGCCGGGCTGCTTGAGAGGCTTTGCGCAGCTGGCTGCAGGCCCAGGCGGCCGCAGCCCGGGGGTATAGGGTTGTTCACATGGCTGGGCGCCAGCTCATCGTCGGCCATGTGCACCTCGGCACCTCGGCCATTGGCTATCGCTGCAGCCGGCGACTGCATGGCACGCCCGAGGCACCATTCAATCCATCGCGGCAGCTAGTTCATGCGGGCTCACGGCCTTGAATTGGCCCAGCGGCTGGGGAGGTGCGGTTGGTGCGCCGCTGACCAACGCGTGCAGCGGCATTTGCAGCTCACCAGTCAGGGCCCCGGTGGCGTTGCCGCCTACTGAGGGCCAAAACCCTCGCCCTCATTGCTGGGCTGTCATCTGTCGTGAACAGGCACGCGAGGATCCCGCACATTTTTGTCCAACGTCGATCTCTTTGGCCGCCACGCCTCGCTGATATGCAATGCTGACTCTGACCAATGTAATAGCTTCGAAATGTGGCGCCCTCCGTCTGCCTTCCCCGACTTTTTTAGCTGTTCCACAGCACGAGCTGCTGCTGCCGGCTGGTTAGTCAATCGACCTGGTGCTTGCAGGACAAATCAGCAGAGATGTTCGTGATTACAGTCTCGAACACGGCGCCATGTACATCGACGCCGACTCTCTGGCTGCCCGTGTCCTAGATCATAGGCACGCGCATTCAAGCTTCGAGCTGCCGGTACCTTACACGCATTGAATCGCGGCCGCATCTATTGTTTTTGTATCGTCGGCACGGATACGCCAGGCTTGCCCTGCCAAGCAACCACACAGTATCGATACAAGATGCAGCTCTCCAGCAATGCAGCTGCGGCTAGCACCAGTGCGAGCGCTGGCGCTCCCCGCAGGCCAGTGGTCGTGAGGTCCGTGCAGACACAGACGCCCGTTGTGGTGACGAATGGCAAGGGCCGCGTCAAGGTATGCAACCCGGGACCGCCCTGGCCTCTCCATTCGGGCCCTCAACGCACCTTGTAAGGCTCATGGGGAATCCCTATTTTTATGCCCCGCAGCCTGGCGTCCCGGAGGGTACTCCCGTCGTGTCGCCGCTGGTAAGAGCAGTGGGCGCAGTGTCACGACCCCCCGCAATGGCCTAGCCTTGCGGGGGAAGTTGCAATGCACTTATGCACAGAGCCTACCAGAGTTTGGCAGCTGCTGTTACAGGGCGCCGATGGCGTTGATCTTGACGGCAGTGCAAGCACCAGCCAGCAACCACCTCGCGGGCTAACGGGGCACCTGTACATTCGCATGCGCCCAACCGCCTGGGGTTGGCGCCGCCCCAGGCAACAGCCTGACCTGTCCCGCCCCGGCCCTGGCTGTGGCCTCCTCACCGCGCCCCGCAGATCCTGCCCAGCCGCCCGCGCCGCAACCGCCGCAGCGAGACCTTCCGCTCCGCCACCCGCGAGACCTGGCTCGACCCCAGGTGGGCAATCGGGAGCCACCTGCCCTAACTACACTCGAGGCGTGCAGATTTGCTGGCCAGTTGTGAAGCAGTCAGGCTTGAGGAGGGGAGGTCACCCTCTGGCTGCTGCGGCTGGCAGCTGCATTGCATGGCGCCCGCGGGTCGCGGCCGGCCCATGCGACAGTGTTGCGGCGGCAGCGGGTCCCAGCGACCCGCGTCTAAATGAGGCGCCGGGTCCACCCCTCGACGACGCGCCCCTCCACAAAACACCGTGCAGCAACTCTCTCTGTCGAACACACACACTCACCCCCTCCTCGGCACCCCCCACCCC